CAAGGAAAGTCATTCGATAAAAATACTTTGTACTTGAAGGAAAAGCAAAATTTTTAGAAAATTTTATTTACTTAGAAAAAATACAATGAATATTTACCCAGTACCTAAATCCAAGAACCAAGGTGAATATTCATTCGTCTTATATGAACCAACAACCCGCACGACACCCGTGTCTTTAGAAAAATTATGATCAATGGAATTCTGACTGCTTAGGCGCCATTAAACAAAACAAAACAAAACAAAACAAAACAAAAAAAACCTTGTGATTCTTTTTCAGTTAAAAGAAATGGATTTATTCCAGCAATCCCTTTAATAATTTGTCTAAGACTTAAAATATGAATTAGCTTCTCATCTACCTCTCCATGCCCCACCTCTAAAAATGAGCATTAGATATCTTTATAAAGGTATATTTTTAAGAACCACAGACCTGGAAGGTGAGGCAGTGGTACTCAGCTTCACATCTTCGTGGAATCAATCCCTGTATAAGAGCTATGTCTGATGGGAATTAAAAATCTATAGCAAATACACTTCTTTTAAAACATATTTTTAGCCGGCCAGTGATAGTTTACTAACCCGAACACGTTTCTAACAAAGAACGCTTCCCTGTCTAAAATTTGTTGTATTTAGTAATTGTATGTAAAACAAACTATCAAGTGCATTAGTTTGATAGATTGGGATTTCCTCTGAGTAGGAATGAGGACTTTGCAACTTTGTTGCTAAGAATATCTCATGAGACATTCCGCTGGGAGCTTTCCATCATCAGAGGTTAGTTCATCCCTCCTAGATAAATACGTTGTATACAACTATGGTCCAGATCTAGAGAAGCAAAGGGAAGTAACTATGTCCCTTTCTTCTGGGTGTTGACATCCAGTAAAGCAGATAACAATGCAAGGATTGTGACCATCTAAGAGTTAAAGAGAAGAGGTGATAATCCATCCTAAACATTTTTTTAAAATATGCCTTCTGAAAAAGACAATTCAAATTTTGCACATTAGTTTTACAAAAAGTCAAATCCAACTGTTTCTGCCAATGCATACCTTTTTTTTTAGGAACCAGAAAGTATCACAAAAGGAGAGGGGAGGAGAAAATGAATTAAGATATGCTAAAGAACATGTACGTACCTCCTAAAATGAATGTAAGCATTATGTACCACAAACATGTACTAATAAAAAAGTTGAAAAAAATAGTGGATCATCTTTGAGAGAAGGATTAGAAGAGTGTGCATCTTCGAAATTTATTTCTCACATCTTAAGTTTGACATTATGAGTAACTGTAACTTTGTTGTGTATTAAAAAGATATTTTAAAGGAATCTGAAAAGAAAGAAACCAGACAGTATGAATAGTGGGCACAGGGAATATAACGTAAAGAATCCTCATGCTTTGGTAAAATAGGTATTGTATGTGGTATATAAATGATTTCTCACTGCCACTGCTCAAATATATTTGAAGTTCTAGGAAGCCGAAAGTGATTTAGAAAGTAAAAATATTACATTTAGAAAATCTGCCCCCAGCTCACATTAAGTGAACAAATAATGGTGAAAATTGGAACTATTTTTCTTTGTGGTTCAATATAAAATAACTGTTAATTCCAGTAGTGACTATCTACACTCAACATTCTCATCATTTCCCAACATGTTCAAAGCCAAGGCAAGAAAAGACCCCGATCATGATTATGTTATCAGCTCATGCAACATTTCCTGCCCACACAGAAGTAAAATCAATAAAAAGTGAGCTTTAAGTTTACATTACTATCAAGTATCTTTGGTAATGTCAAGTTCTATATACTGACAACTAGGTCTCCATTGGAAAGAAGTGAGTCTTGACCATAAAAGAGCATGGTATTAGATATTTACTGTATGAAGACTTATGCAGCTTGGATGAAATCAGGAAGGGTTAAGGAAAGAATTGAAAATACCCCCCACAACTATGGCAAAAACTAGTTAAGAATCAACAAGAAGGCTGGGTGTGGTGGCGCATGCCTGCAATCCCAGCACTCAGGAGGCTGAGGCAGAAGGATCGCTGTGAGAATGAGACCAGCCTGGGCTATATATTGAGTTCTAGGGCAGTCTGAACTACACAGTGAGACCCTGTCTCAAAATACAAACAAACAAAAAGAATCAACAAGAGGTGTAACAATTTCTTGTTGTATATTTATTGTTCACCAAATATTCCAAAAATGAATATAATGTAGTACTTTTATTTTTTTAACTCCTGAAAGAAAGATCATGGAATGTTCTCATATGATGTGCCTCACTGCTGATTCCCTGATTCAGCTCAGTTCTGGAAAGAGATGCTAGCATACAGCAGCATCATTCTATTCTTTTAGGATGTGCATGTAAAGTTTTTCACTTTAAAATTTATTTTTATAGTTTATTTCTCAGGGGGGACAAAGACAAGGCATAAAATAAATGCATGACACTTAGCTTGAATGTCAGGTGAATAAAGTCCTTTGTCAAGAAAACCCAAATTTTCAACAATGTGGCACAGTTGTACACATCCAGAAAAACACTTGGAGCCACAGATCTCTGAGGACAGAAATTCAAACTAAAAGTCAGAGAATAGAAATGATCCATACATTTATATCGAGCCATTTAAACAAAAAACTTATTAACTCAAATCTTTTTTTCAATTATTACTACCTCTTGCAAGAAGGTTATCATAATGCAGCAGAAGTCCTTCTCAGATCACAGTTTAAGAGTCCATGAGTGAAAAGCTACAGTATATTATTCACCCCCACAGATAATACAGTGGTGCCTCAGTTCACAAACTTGTCCGATTCTAGGGAAGATAAGAAGGCCAAAGTCCTGTTCCCCAGGAAGATGTTGTCATTCTTGTTTGTGCGGGGGACGTAGAGTTCGTGAATGGAAGCAAAATTCTGCCAAATGCTTCTGTTCGAGAACTGAATTGTTTGTGAACAGAAACATTCGTGAATCTTTGCTGTAGTACTGAATATAATGGTTATATTTACTAAGGTGGAAAAAAAAAACACCTAATAGATGAATCATGCTGTGATCATCTTGATTAGCTGGTGCCTTACAAAAATGAATCTCTGGTATGGTTTGTTTTTGTCAGTGGCACCCACATTTTTATAGCCATAGCCACAAATTAAAAAAGAACAGCCAGAAAGGCAAGTATGTAAAAGGAAATACAAGAGCAATGATTAAATTCATTACTACGAGCAAAACAAAAATGACAAGCACGTGTGCTTTGAAAGATGAAACAGTGGCATGTCCCTCCCATACCAGACTGCACCTATTGCTTGTTTTCTGTCGCATGCAGTACAGCACATCTATTGAGAGTGGGTGTTATTTTTTATACAGATACAAAACAAAAAGTTGTTTTTAAAATCCATGAATGGAGAGCTTTACAAATGTGAAAAAAAAAATATAAAATCCCTCCACGATTGGAGCTACAGATGATCTTTTGGGTTACCCAATGTCTGAGAAAGAGTTTTCAGTGAAGGAATAAAGATATCTGAAGACAGATCAAATTGTTGAAACCAATAGCATTCACCATAATAAAAACAGCAGATGATTCTGAACATGAACACACACACCCAGCAGGGGACAAATTTAACAAAACCGAAAGGAAGACCATAGGCTAAATAGAGAAATCACCAGAGGAAAATTACATGGGAAAACCATTTGAAAAATAAGAAATGGCCACTGCAAGTTCCCTGTCTTGCCATTAGAGCCAAGAGAACGACTCAAAGTAGAAACAGGTGAAGAGAATAAAAGGCGAGAGAGGAGCCATGTAGCACAAAAGTAGGCACTTCTAGCTGAGTGCTTGTAGAGGAAGAAAGGAAACACGAACTTTAAAATCCTTCAGATACACATGTTCAAGCAGCAAAAATAGATGGAATGCAAGAAGAAAAACTCCAGAGTGTTCTTGGACTTTTAAAATAATCACAAAAAGCAGGTCTCCTCTCTTAGCTTCTAAACTCCTATATAGGCTCCTAACTCTTAAATCCACGGATAATGACTGAAGACTGGGATCAAAAGAGCCATGCTGGCAGGCTACAGATGTCAAGGATTCTCCAAGGTGGATCTCTATAGATACCACAAATCTTCAGTGTGATCTCCACGGTTATGGCATACCCTAAAAGTTCAAAATGCCTTAAGGCAATGACATGGAAAAGTCAAGGCATAACGTGGAACCAAACCAAGAAGCAAGGGAAGAAACTTGAAACGCATATAACAGCCTTTCGCCTTCACCCTGGAGTAACCATCAACTTTTTAGTGAAGGAAGAAAATAAAATTTTTATATATTCTTCTGCACTGAGAGATTATGTCTTTATGTTAAGCTTTAGTGTAATTAGAAAAAAAGTATTTAATATTACTAAGAAAGTATATCAGTAACAGAATATTCCTATCCTGTGTATTCTCTAAACACAAAGTTTCACTTTCCTGAGGTAATAATTATTATTAACGCTTGGGGGCCGGGGGCGTTTTAAGAGACTAGCTCAAACAAGAATGAATCGCTAGCAGGCCAGAGGCCACATATACAACCTTTTAGCCCAGACCCTGGGTCCAGGTAGCTCTATTAAAATAAGACCTGGGGTAGCCTACTTTTAAAAAGATGAATGTTTTTGTACAAACATCTCGGTAAATCTCATCATCAGTACAAAATGAGTCACTTCAAGGCCCTTTTAGTCAGTTTTACTTAGGTATTTTAAAGTTTGAATACGATGAACTTTTTTTAACTCTTTAAATCTAGGTAGTTTCGAAGCCTATACAACTTCCTAAATTTTGTTGATTGTACTCCTTCGAAATAACTACGGTACAGCGTCTTACTACTTTGGCTAGACCTGGTCGAATGGACGGACGCTCAGGGGTGAGGGACTTAGGATTTCCTAAGCCCCAAGATCAAGGTCACTTTGAGTTCAAGGCTTGAAGACTTAATGAAACGTGCTTACAAGATATATCCCATCTCAAACGCGTTCAAAACGACACGCAAGGACTTTAAAACATCAGCACAAACACCACAAGGGGCCCTTTTACCTGTCCTACCAGGTTCCCGGCGGGATGTGAAAAGCCTTCCAGAGACCTAAGCCACGTTACAGATTTCAACTGAGAACCCCCGGGAAGCAGCAGGCGACTCCAAGGACCTCCGAGCGTGCAGCGCTGTCTTCCGGGGGAGGGGTGCCCAGGGTCCCCCGGAACCGGAGTGGCTAAGGAAGGTCCCCGTGCCAGGTCCCTTCCCAGCGCTCGCGCGGCAGCAGCGGCCCCCGACGGCCCTGGACCAGAGAGGGCACCGTGGAGCTCCGCCTCGCGGAAGAG